ACTTACATGGTTTTCTGGCACCTAGAAGTCTATAGCTAGCATGAACCTAATAACTTCAGTGTGTTGGCATTTCCAGATCTGCCCGTAGCTGTTTGTACCTTTACTTCCTTTACATCTGCTCCCAAGAGACTTATACAGGGGACTGGCTCACACTGGGAGGAGTATACAACTCTTAGTAAAAGAAAGAAAGCAAAAGCTTTTCAATCACTGTTAGTGAATAAGACATGTAGGCCCTCTGAATTATGCACAATACTGATACAAACCAACAAACAAAAAAGAAGAAAAAAAAGGAATCACAGTATCACAAAATACTGTTATGTAACAAAACCATAATGCCTTGTTGGGCTGGAAGGAACCTATGGGACTTTGGAAATCTCTCTTTCTTGCCTTGGTAGCACCCCTTCCTTCTTAGCTAAATACCATTTCACTGGAAAGAGGGGATTAGCACAAAACCCAGCCTCAGGGTATGTCATGCCATGGTGATGAGGGTGCCTGAACTCTTCCCCTCCCCTCTCAACCTCCGGAAAGTGGGAACAGGTAAAAGAGAGGGCTGTGCTGGAAAGGACCTACCTTCCAGCAATGAAGATACGTAACTCAGGGCTCTGCTCGAGGGAATGCACATCTGACTAGTCAATGCAGTTCCAGGTGAAATTTCTGGGAAGGACATTCTAGCGTTCTAGCTTGCAAGTTGCAGCTAGAGGCAACCCACTACCAAGCCTTCCTTCAAGTACTTTCATGTACTAACAAGAGTAATTTATGACTTGAGAAGTGTTTGTTGGCCTGAATCTTCCTTGTACTCTCTGTGGTAACCTGTTCTGGCACAACTCTCTAACTTCTTTTGGCCAATAAATTTTCCCTTTCCTCATGCACATGTTAGTACAAATGTAAAAGAGATAATATGTCAGAAAGGGCAACAAGTCACGCAGGAACAAACTGCTACAGTTTCCTGCTGTGGTGCCAGGCGCAACAGATTCCTTTAAGCAGAACCATCTGCTACAAAACTGCACCCAAAAAAGTTTTCATTTTCTTGTGAAGTGTTTGATAGTCTTAGTAAAACGGGGAGGTTACTTTCTGTAAATTCTGTACAGTCTTAACAGTGACAGTCATTTGAAGAGCTTCAGAAGCTTGGAGTTTTTTATTTTCCTGCAATGATCCAGAGATCTTATAATGGAAATAATTCTTGTGCTTCAATGAACTCTGTTACTTACGGTAGGAGCGAGCTTTGCAGAAGAAACTTTTCCAAAAGATCCTAAAATGCCTGGAGACAAGATTTTACGCACTGTTCTTTGAAGTGGGCAATGGTGACCGCTCACAGGAATGAACGGCCCTGATGACAATGCCCTCTTGACAAGAGCAAGACCAGAGGTATGTAAAAATACCGTATTTCAGTTTGATGGTGAAAGTGATAAAAAACAGGAAAAATATTTTATAGTGAACTTATACGGAAATTTCCCATTCTTTGACAAATCACGCATCTCCCCCAAACTGCGTCAAGCAAGATGAGTTGTTCTAAGCGCAGCTTTTTGTTTCTGGTAATTTTTAACAAAAACAAGAGACACTTTGGAATGAAAGGTGCAAGTTACACATATAATTAGGTATCAGTTTGGAGACTGAAAGTAGTTGCTGCCTTATCAGCTACGGTACTCACTAGGGAGTTTCTTGTAGTCAGCAGTTCAAATCTTTACCCAGATTCAAATCTTCTCTTTATCTGAATCAGAACAGGGACGGACTTGGATGTATGTTTCCCATAACCCACCCTGTGAGGGCTTTTCAGCTGGCTTTGTCTCGTGCTAAAGCTGTTCCATTGCCTAGGGTAAGCAAGACTTAACCAGACCAGAGGACAACTCTACTGTAAAGGCTTTGTCTAGCAGGGATGACACCATGGTGCCATTGCTCTTCTTCCTCCTCTGTCTTGAAAATGGCACGTAATTTACATTATTAAACTGGCTGAGAAATCTAGTTTCCAAGAGGAGGCAGTCATGCTAAATGTTGATCTGAGGCTCAGGATCCTACCGGTGATCTGAGGCCACAGAGATATCACCACACCAGAGATGGATTTTTATACTCTATTTCTGATATGGAGGAGAGCCTTCACACTATAGAAATTTTACATTTTTCTGTGTTCCCTTTGAAGCAAAGCTCCAAAAATCTGTCAGCTGATTTGACAGACTGTTCACAGAGAAGCAATAGATCAGAATGCATCTGTCTCAGTCCAAACCTGCTCTTTGTCATTAATTGCCTATCAGCTATATTACATGTGACATGAGGTCACCAAAATCTAGAGAAGTATCTAATTAATTCAATACCCAGTAGTCCTAGCAGGACTATATCAAGTACGGAGAGATGCAAAACTCTTGAGCTCAACAGAGACTTCCTATACTTGTCATTAGGACCTACAGATGACTTCTCTTCTGCACAGTACTAAAAACACACCTCAGTTTCCCTGTGATGCAGTGAAAGAAATGGAAAGGCTCAAGCACTACCTTTAGGCTGAGGTGCACAAACGTGAGTAGAAACAACAACAGATGTGTGCTGGAACAAACATATACAAGTACGTGGGCTTTGATTCAGCAACGAAGAGCAGCTGAAGTAAGTTTCTAAACTGTCTCAAATCTTTAAAATCACATTGACATTCAAATTACCGTTGCTTTCCCTGAGATAAAGGTACACAGACATTTCAAAAGTCTAATCATGCACCCACTCACATCTGTATGTGCTTAAATAACCACATAAATACAATTTAAGCTTGAGATGGATAGATCTGGAGTCAACTGGATTTGGGTCCTAAGCACTAAATCTTTTTGTCATAACTAAATGTGTACTCCCAAGCCACATAGGTGCTTCTGAAAATTATACTCACTGCAGAGGGTTACTGGTACCACGCAGGAAGAGGCCAAGCACTTTCATTAAGTATTGGGAAATCTATACAAGGATCCACCTTCTATAGATCTACCTTGTGTTTGTCTCAGGTTTTGTGCTCTCCCCTATTACCATGGTTTTAGGTTGCTTTATAGAACACAAAACCAGCAACAGCCAGAGGTGCTCACCAACTCAAGAGGTGATCGTATACGGGGGCCAGGCAGAGAGTTTGTTGCTGTTGCAAATTCTTTCTCTATTTATACTGTGAAACTTTATCCAGTAAGAAGGGTTTGCAGTATTCTGATCTGTGAACTCTTAAGTGTTGACATCAGAGGTGAGTGATTTCCAGAGGTGAATGAAGTGCAAGAAATAAGTATGATGGCAGCCTTTCTTAAGCGACTGAGCTGTCTCTGCTCTGCCTCGCCTCATACACTAATGCCACCATCATGAAGGATATACGGGTCTGTCAGAAACCTGCTAGAATGTTTCCTCCACAGAACAGATAAGCGGAGCTAAAGTCTGTGTGAAGGACCATACAAGACAGCCAGTGTGAAATGTAGACCTGGCGATTTAAAATAGACTGTTGCCTAAGAACAGATTACAGTTTTCAGCCAATACATTTTAATAATATCTATATAACAAAATAGAAACACTGGCTTGCAGACAAATGGCTTTTAAGGCTAATTATTGACCTCTTTCGATGTTCAGAGATACTTCTTATAGATTTCACCTATAGCATGTTTCTTAGGAGTAAAGTTCAGCCTTTGCACAGGGCTGGCATCAGTCATGTAAGTCTCTCCCTGTGTGGCATTAAGGGATTTGAACAGCACACGTATCTTGTGCTGGCGATCTCCATGGCATGAAAACTCACCTTCATACCTTCGGTGTCAACCACTGAACATATTATCCATGCAAGCATCAAGCATCCTCACAACCACATGCTACTATAAATTCAGATATTTAGTGACAAAAAGTGAGTCATAAGTCATTAATCATACACCAGCTGAGACTATGCAGTGAAGTCGATGATTTTTGGACTACGTCGATGACCAGTATGGTTATCGATGTAGACCATACAACTACTTATGATGTTTTGGGTTCTTTTACCTATTCCAAAGGGAACGGTCTGTGCCTGAAAGCGTTCACCGTCTGACCAAAGTAATATTAATATTATAGCAACACTAGTATATTGTTTATATATCAGTTACTAATGTAGTCATATTAATATCATATATTAATAGCTATATATTGGGATGCACCTGTACTAGTAAATCAGCGGTGAGAGGGTATGTTTCTGGCACTCCAAGGCAGTGCTCCACTCTGGTAAGTATGGTCCTTGCCCCCATCTGGCCCGGGGCCAACAGCATCCTCTCAACAGCTCCCTATCAATCACAGCTGAGGAGCTAGCACAGGCCAGGGAGCAGCCCCAAGGAGCAGTCGGCATGCAGTCATCCCGTGTTGGGGGGCAAGACTGCAGTACTACATACGTAGGACATTCCTGCCTGCTGGACTTGGTGCCAGAGAGAAGTCCTAGGCACATTTAATTTTCTAGTGTACTACCACGGTCTTGGAGTCTGGTCATACAACAGCATCTAAAGCAATGTACTGTGACCTATGGAACCTATCCTTACAGTCTGCGTTTAAGGCAAGGAAGAGCTGGCAGAAACAGAGCTCACAGAAGAAGGTAACAGTAAGACAAGGTGTCGTGCCCTAGGTGATCCTGCCTTGGCGGGGGGTCGGACCAGATGATCTTCAGAGGTCCCTTCCAACCCCTGCCACTGATTCTGTGACACTCGGGTTGCCTCATCATTGTCAGAAGTTGGAGGAAGAAGAGGCAAACAACTGATAATTAGTATACATCACCTAAGTTCAAGACAGCCAACAGAAGTAGGGTTTTTGATGTTAATTATACTAAGGACTGATTAACTATATGAAAGTTTATTACTTTGCTGCATTTCTTAGTTTATGTTTCTTCCTCATACTGGGCAATTTGTTTGAGTTTCAGAAATAATCTCTCATATTTCAATCACTGCCGCCTTCAAAATGCCATTGCTCTTGCACCTGAAGTTTTCTCCCCATCTGTTTCCCCTCTTCTCTGTGCACCTGCTTGGAGAAGGTCTATCAACAGCATAGAAACATACCAAAGGGGGGGACGCGCTCCACTTCTGTCGAGCAGACGTTCTCCTCATGTGCCCATCTGCCATAGGTGGCAGAGTAGATGATAAGGAACTTGGACTCCTGACAGTGGAGTTTCAGTTCCTGGTTTTCACATGCTGATTTGGTTTTGTATTCAGCTAAAATAGAAGAAAATAACAATATGGTAGCATGAGGCAATTTACTCAGCTGGACTGTTAATAGCAAATGGCAGCATGACAGAAAACAGCTTTTCTGCAAGTTCTGTTGCGAGTGATATGCGGCACTATTACAACCAGAGACAAAGCCAACAGCAAAGCAGAGTGCTTCCTCCAACTGAACTGCTCCCATATGACTACCTAAAGCCTCTTGCTCCATTTTGAAAGGAACGAAAAAGTTAACTTTTGCCAATCATCTCCTCTCCCAGTGGAACAGCCTCCCCCCTTCCCACCTTATTTCCTGGCTTGCTTTCCACTGCTGCTCAGCAGGAGAAGCCTCGTCCTTTCCTTTGTCTCTCCCCGGGCCAGTGCTCCATTCTACGCCTACTTCAGATGCCCGCCTGAGTGCTGAGAGCCTCCGACCGCCCATCAATCACGGGGATGGCTGGCATCACCCGGTGCCACCGCACACGCCCCTGAGTGAGCATCGAAGAATGGGAGGCACAAAGGCATGGGGATGGGCGACATACCCTGAGCCAGACAGCGCTTTCAGCTGTATCTCCATGGCTCCACCAAGGTCAGTGGGTTTCCCCGGGCATGACTATGCAGCAAGGGCTCATTTGAAAGTTTTGCTGACAAAGCAATTCGAATCAGGAGGCTGAGAAAAATAACTCCCCGCCGCCCTTTCTCAGCTGGCAGCAGCACACTGGCCGCGCTCGCAGCTCAGAGGTGGGGAAGCCAGTGAGATGTCTCCAGACAGCATGGTTTATTCCTCCTAGGGAACGGGTTAAAATCTGCCATCCGGCCAAGGAGGTCTCTGGCTGGCCTAAGCAGCCACTCTGCTTGCAGCATTTTACGGCTCAAGCCTTCCTAGTCTAGATATGGTGGCAAACCTTTTCAGTGCAGATAAGGCCGGGGAGATGAGTTTATTCTGCTCCTTTTTTTTTTTTTTTTTTCTCTTTCAAAAATGTGAAAACAGGAAAAGGAGGTTCCTGAGCTGAGCAGGAGAAAAGGGAAACCTTATTGTTACTGAGTGGTATCCCTGTGAGCAGAGCGTGGGTGGTGGTGCTAGGGGAACTGGAGAGAGAAAAACCTCCTATCTATTCAATAAAGAAAACATTATTGTTTCATTTAGAATAGAAGAGATAAAAAAAAAGAAAAGGGGTTAATGTTCTTGGTAATAGTCCGGTTTCTTCTATTCGAGCTCATCAGCAGTCACATGTTTAAGTCTAAAAAAAGTGGTTTTAAAAAATACTTGACCTGCTGCAGATAGATTGTTACTTCTGCAGAAGCACCTGACATACCGTACACCCATGAGGATCATGCCAAGAAAACAGAGGCTCTGACCCAAGGGCTAACAGCCTAAAGCGGTGTTCTGTGTCTGTACGGCTGCGCTCCGTGGTTGCTGGAGAGGCTAGGGAAGTACAGACAACAGAAAAAAACCCACAAATGGTATAAGACAAAGGTAAGAATACAACAGAGACCTCTGCAGAGAGAGAGCAACAGAGGAAAACACAGTATTTCTAAACAGATGAAAAACTAAGGGATTCAGGCACTTGCTTAAGTGCCCACTTGAAAGCAAGGAGATTGTAAAATACACTTAAAGTTATACCCAAGCGATTTCCCGAGTAGGGATGTTTTCCACAGCCAACCCTAACAATACTGGTATCTTACCTACAAATACAAATTTCCTGTCACATGAAGTCATGTAATTTGCACTGGAACTGGACTGTTCCTCAGTTCTGAAGGCAGCACTTGCTGTTAAATGCATTTTAACCAACTTTTGTAAAATCCAGATTACAGAGAACATTATATATTCAAAGTAGTGCATTTCCAGTGGGAAAAATATTAAGCAGCTTATAAAAGTAACAAACAGGATCTCAATCCACTTTTGCTTAGTAAAAAGAGGTTTCAAATGACACAGACACAGCTATGATATTCAAATCCATCTACTATTAATAATGCAGTAATTTTAATACGTGAAAAAGAATCTTTAAACTATAAGATAATAAAACAGATCTTCAAAATGTTAAATTTCACACTTTTGCCCCCCCCGATGATTGGCTCAGTAAGACTCCCTGGGAGTTCTTGTGTCAGTGCTTTGCCAAAGGTAACACCTACCTACTCCATTCCCGTATCTCTGCTCTGACTTCAATACTCCGCATAAATTGGCGCTTCAGTTTGCTTGCCACCCCTGTTCCTATTCCACCAATGATGTCTATCTTAATGCTCTGATTAAAGAAAATCTCTTTTGTGCTTTCTCCTTTAGTTGTGGGATGGTATTTCTGAGTTGGCTGGTGAACCTACCCATAAATCATCATTCAACTATTTTCTTTGGGACCCATTTCATCCACACTGGGGATTAGCTGCCAAAAAACAGCTGAGCCTCCAGGCTACTGGGGCTTGTTCTCATATACAATAGCAACAAGAAAAACAATTAAAAAACGCCAATAAATGAAACCTCATGATGATTGTCTTAATCTTTCTTACACTTTTCTTACATTTACCAAGTGCATTCTCTTTGAGGCAGGATTTGCCCCTTTACGTATCAATGTTAATTACCTGCATAGAATACACGTGATTCTACAATGAAATTCTGTAATAAAGCTAGCCACATGTATGTATCCTCCAGTCATTATTCTATAAATGGGAGGTAGGAACAGAGGGTCATTGAAAGCTTTGGTCCTCCTTAAGCATTTTTGTATATTCCTTATTATGATATCTTCTTCATCATTTGGATCCTTCACCCAAGCATCTGATTTTGCTGTTCAGCTCTATCTTTCTAATATGACGCTATCATTACCATCTCTTCAAAAATAATTTCCAAAACATTTTTCCTTCCTAGTTTGATGTCTGACTCTGCCAAACTATGCTGGTCGTTAACTTGGCAGCAAGAACACTGAAGCTGTAAACACAATGGAGAGCTAAGGTAAAGCAGAAAAAAACAATTTGTTATTAATCTAAGAGTCTCAAAACTTCACATGGATTTATGCAAAGCCTTGTACAGTGGCATTTTAACCAAAACAAACAACAAAACACACACAAATACACATTTGCCTGATGTGGATTACTTACTAGGTTTGCATTTAAAGGAGACAAGGAGGAATTTAGTGGTCCCTGGACACAGATCAGGTCCAAAAACCCGACTATTGACAAGGAGTTGGCAGGATCTCAGGTTTTGGCATTCATCCAGTACTTTCTAGAACAACGGGCAAAAAGGATAGGCTTGAAAACAAGGTATGAAGCTATATAGCAATGAGAACACTTAGTTGTACTTTGTTCTATACAGGACAGAAATCATTCCTTCACAACCTTTTGGCTGTAAACACGTAAGGAACATCTGCATCACCAGATTTAAGCCACACCTCTACCAGACTTTGAGGTGTGCCCAAGTTTATGGCAACACATTCATCCCAGGGATGCTCACGGCTACTTAGGATGTTACCCATCTGCTGTTTTTCACTTCTTCCTCTCCCCCGAGCTGGTCGGCCAGGTCCCGCTGTGTGCCACCGCAGCCTCGGAGGTGCTTGGGACTCCGTGCAGAGCCCAGAGCAACTGGGAAGACGCTCAGCCCCCGGCCTCTGTGAGGCCTGCGGCACTCACACGCTCCTGGCTGATGGCATTGATGGGAGTGTAATGCCCAGGTGAAGCATGGTGACTCAAAAAGGTGTCTTTCTAACATTCATTTCATCTCAATCTACTTCAGTTTACCTGAGCACGCTCTGTAATATCTTCACTTGAAAGAGTTCTAGCTAATGACTTGGTGTGCCTTAGTGACACTTAAGCACAACTGTAGCTTTAAGCCATGTGTAGGACCTCCTGCTTAAGGGGCACTTGACCTAATGTGTGTAACTGCTTGCTTGCAGTTACACACATCATCAGATATTTACTTCACTTGCCACTTCAACCAATTCCAGAATTGGTTTGATCAGATAGCACAGCTGTGGATGTCTATCCTAAGCCTGCTTGTCTTTTTTGTTTTGTTTTGTTTTGTTTTGTTTTGTTGTTTAAATGCTCTTTCTAAGGCCATCTCTACCCCAGATTTTTTGACCCAGCAATATATCGTGGTTCTTACTGTGCTGCTTCACTGGGAGCGGCAACAAAAGGAGGACAATAAAAAAGTCAGAAGCATTATATGCAGAGGGTCCCGTGGACCCTCTCCAAGTTCAGCAAAAGGACCGAGTACTCCTAATGCTCACATTGGTCTTCCCACTTCATCAGTGGTTTCGGAGCTGTAGCTACAGAAAATATGAAGACATTGCCCAACATGAGTCCGAGCCCAGTTTTTAACACAGTCACAAGCCAAAGCACCTAAAACCCCCAGTTTAAATGCAGCAGTGTACTTAGGAAATTCTTACTCGCCTTCAAAGCTCGGTTTAGAGTGGGCTTTCTATACACTATTTTTGGACAGTCTGCGGTGTTGTGCCCAGGATTCTTGATGTTTAAAATCACAGCAGGCTGTGGTAAGGAGGGCAGTGTCTCCAGGTCACCCCACTCTTGACAGGAATAACTGTAAGATACCATTCTCTGATAGATTTAGGTACTCCTGTAAAATCGGTGGGAATTTTTGCGTTGTTTCTCATCAGAAGAGGTCTCAGTCATACCAAGAGGCCAAATCACAAATTTACCACTGTGATAGCATAAGCTGCACTCTTGTTTCCAGGCTGAGAGAGCTGGCAGTGGCTGAATCTCTCCTGTCATCCCTGGAAGCCATCCCTCCCAAGCAGAAATGATACACGTTGGCAGCACTTTGCAGCAATCCTGTAACACTCCTGCCTTTTTGTTCCCGTTGGTAGAAGGAGAGGACTTGCATCCAACACTTTTTGAGCATTAAGTGCACTCTAAAGAGTTTAAAAGGCAAGGAAAAGCACAGCAGACTTAATTTTATCAGACAATTCTTCTTCCACAGAGTTGCAAGTCAAACAAATAACTCCTCCTTAATTGTGACAGTTCTGGAACAGGCCAGTGCAATTGAGTTATGTCTTTGGTAAGTGGAGATAGCTGTCCCCTACTGAGTCACCTTCTGTTTGCACCTGAGCTGAATCACCTCCTGTGCATCTGTTTGTACGTTCTCCTATTTAATGCCAATAGCAGTCGCATTTTCTATCATGTTGCCGTGCAAAAACACGCAACCACAAAAGCAAACAATGATACTCACAATGAGATAGCACTGGGCTGTTAATATCTCAAGACAGATCTAACTTTGCAGTGATCCTTTTAGTAGGAGGTCACCGTCAAAAACGCCTGTTATGCTTCCTGCCGGCTGCATCATGCCCAATTATGCAGACTGCAGATGCGGTTCCAAAGGGAAAGGGAGGAGGGATGAGATCACTGGTGCTCTTTTCTAAGAAATCAGTTTACAGGATATGTCTCTTCTCCTTGACAGAACCGTAACTCCATGAGATGCACAGTACTCGTATCTCTCACGTTCGTGGCCTCATCAAAATGCTTTCCTGCCTTTGATCAGTGACAGTGCCTGAACGATGATGATAGTTTATACAACAGTTATCCCATGCTGTGTTTACTATATTCAAGGGAAAAAACTGTCCATGAAGATCTCACAAAGGCACTCACAAGCCCAAAATAATCATTGGTGTCACTTCGCTGTAGTCACTAAAATGACATCAAGGATGCATCTGGCCTACTGTTTTCGGTGGAGAGCTGTACTTTCACATGGCCCATAGGTCACGTCTGGAATGTCTTTAGAAGTTGCAGTACAACATGGGCAAGCCACACATAAAAAATGCCCTAATATTGTTTCTGGAGAGAGGATATTACTGCCAAACCATTCGTTACAACTCCTAAACTCACTGGTGGTGGGAAATTATGCTCCCTGTTGCCAAGAAGCAATGTGTCAGCTGCAAGCACAAAAGTTGCAAGCTTCATCAAAGCTTCTGTAGAGCATTTACAACAGCTTCACCAACAGAACGTGTTCAGGTTCCACTGACTACTCATTTTTGCAATGATTTACTGAATTTGGCCTAACACTGGGCATTTTCACTATGATGACACAAGCCTTTGACAGCAGTGTAAGTCTGCTTAACCTTCTAAGCCTCGTTACAAAAGTCTCCATAGCAGAAAGTAATAATTTATGAAGTATAAATCATTTTAAACTATACTGAAGCGGGCCCAGCACACAAACCATACAATATTACGGATACAAATCACGTATTAATGAAAATGCAGGTGTCTGCAGAAGTGCTTAGGATCTGCTGTTTAGCTGTCGTGGTGCCTTCTGAGTGAGTGAAGATAGCTATGGAACAAGCCAAATGCCAACCAGAGTGCCATCTTATTCAATGGGTTTGTAACTGTCAAATGTTCGTAACCTCTCCTGGGGAAAAGGAGGGCCTGTGTGATGGATTAAGACTGGTCTGCTTAGTCATGACCAGCCCTTGACTAGAAGGGAATTGATTATTTTAGGCAACTTTGAGAATGGAGTTTCCAAAGCAAGGCTTATCAATGCAGAAGGCAATCCACAAAGTTTTTACAAACCTATGGTAACATCCTTCTGGCCAGACAAATTCTTTCAGTTTTAATACTTTCCATGGCAAACTGACATAGTCACCATGTCATTTCATTCAACGTTGTGAACACTTGCCATTTTCACACAGCATAGCTCACCGCATGGAAACCTTCAAAAACATTGTGTGCATTAAGAATCTTTCCAACATGCGATACCTGCAAAGAGGTGGGTGCCACACAGTTTATGGGTTCTGCCATCCTGGTTTCAGGCTCCCGAGTACTACACATGTGGTAGTCTTGCCCGTAAAATGCTGACTGAACACTTATTGTTGAATGTCGAGGACAGTGCAGACTCAAATGTTCCCCATCGCAGGCGTAGGCAGTATGATTTTGCAGAAGTTTGGTTAGGTAACCTAGAAAATATTCAGCTCTGTTACAACTAGTACAGGAAATTACAAGCTCGTTAGATAATAAGAAAACCACAATCAGTCTCTGGAAAGGGCATTGTAGTCAAGGTTATGCGTATGGCCCGTTGCCACACCACATGGTTCTGTGAATGGGTCAACCTTTACATGCTAGTAACGCTCAGGTCTGGAAAACAAGAGGTCGTGTGGCGGTGAGTCAGAGCCCTACCAGCACTCCAGCAGCGGCACTGTGTCGGAGATGTCATTTCACATACAATAAAAGGGCTCAGGCCCTTGCCAGTCATGGTCACGAACAATCTCACGGTGTGTTTGCAGAAGTCAGAAGGGCTATGACTTGGTTTTGTGGGCTAGAGTCTCGCGTTCCAGCTGGTTAAGATATTCCTTACATCTCAGCTTAAACTGATGCTTTGCACTCCTGGGCTCCTAGGCAGTTGTGTTTCACATGAATGATAATAAAATCTGTGATTCTCTCTGTATCACTGAATCAGATGCTAGGATAACCAAGGAAAGGTGGTCCATCAGTGCTGGACACTGTAGGTGCTTGACAGAAACCCAGAAGTAAGACACACAGAATTTTGTATTTCACAGAACCATAGAATAGTTTGGGTTGGAAGGGACCTTTAAAGGTCATCTAGTCCAACTTCCCAGCAATAAGCAGGGACATCTTCAACTACATCAGGTTGCTCAGAGAGTAACCACAGAGTTTGTTGGTGTTAGCAGGAGAGGGAGAGGTAGGATCTGTATGCAGCTGTCCACCTGCACCATCCTTTTGCATCTTCTAATAAGTCCATGAGTAGCAGAGCTAATGACAGCTGTTTTTCTGGTTTGTATTTCATCACGTATTGCCTCTTTAGCCAAGATTTCTGTTATCACCACAAATACTTATAAATTTTAACCTCCTACTGCCCTTCTCTCTGTTCTGCAGAATACTTAATGGAAACATGCAGGCTGCTACCTTTGACCATTACAAATTAGCCATTGTGATGGGAAACTGTTATGGGTAATTTAATTCAAAGACTTTCCTCACATATCATTATGAGGCTTTGATACCTCTACCACACTTGATTAAAATCTATCTTTAAGCAGAAAATGTTTGTGGGTGAAGGGGAAGAAGAGGCATGAGGATCAGGAGAGATAAAGGATACAAAATACTGATCTACAATGAAGCAATATCCTTCCTCATACCTCATCCATAAACACAAGGAAATTAGACCCCAAACCACTTTCTTCCTCATGAGTTTTATGACAATCCAATATACTACAATCAAAGCAAATTGGTTTTCTAATTCTTCCACTATTAGCCAAATTTTTTATTAATGTGCATACAATAACTATATTTGAATAGTTTCCTTATTCTTATACATGCATTAAATCCTGTATAATTCTCTCTAAAATCGATTCCCAATTGCTAGAACTCTAGGATCATCCACATTCAGGTCAAAAAATCCAAACAGAATTCTCCAAACCAAACATATAAAGTAATGAGAAAGCACCAAGAGCTTCCACTGATTTATTTGAGAAAAGATTTGTAGAAGTTTTAAAACTGAGACCATGGTTACATATGTATCTTTTTAATTTCCAAAATTATACTTTTCCTATCTTTGCCTCTTTTCCAAACACGTAATTGATCTAATTAAAGACAAAAGCTACTATCTTCTCCTCAGAAGCCTTGCTTACCCTGTTGTGGTAACAGCAACATTATTACTGGTAACTATTATGGAGGAAAAAAACCCCACCATATTTTCTTGCTTTGGTGGCTGAATCAGAACTAGAATGACAATTTTTTGTATTGTTAAACAAAAATTAGTTTTCTTAAAGAAAATATTGAACAAGAGTTTGCTCACACCATTTGATTTTCACACTTTTTGCCCTTTTTAAGCCTTTCACCAAAGACGAGCAATTTTTTAAAAAGGTTTTAAAATGGAAATTTAAGTATTCCAAGTAAACGATATGAAAATAAAGTACTTCAGTCCTCTGGCATCTTTTCCAGCTCCAGTTGTGCAACTGGATTAGAAAACTCAGCTCCCCTATTAGTTACTAAGTCTGGAGAAAGGAGAAGCCTGCTTCACTACTGTCTTTGCTGTTCCTCTTCTAGAGCCAAGAGAAGACAGGAGTCAGCTAGATGCACCTTCCAGTGCAGCAAAGATGTAGGCGAGTTCCTCACCTCGTCGAACTCCGTCTGAGCATGGAAATGAGAAGAGAGAGAATTTCATGCCCTGTATTTGCAGTCTAGATCTCAAGGAGACCAGCCCAGCAGAAATCCCTGTGGCTTCTCACAGGTTAAAAAAACCCAAACAAATCCTTCCTCTACATTTTCTGTGTAATTGAGACCACAAATAACTGAGCGTTCCAGCCTGAGCCGCTCCTCTGTCAGCCTGCTCCTGAAAGGTGCTGGATATTGCCAGGAAAATGGGCCGAATGCCCAACTGCACCCAAGCGACTTTGCTACGGTCCGATACCGTAACGGGGCCTCCAGTGGCATTTACTGCCGGTGAATGCCTTTGGCACAGCCATCACAGCATAAAAAGGCCACAGTGTAAAAGAGTACTCAGCCCAATGTGAGTTGTGGGCACTCAACACCTTGAAAGATTTAGCCCGATATTTGTAACCATTTCAGTTCTTCAGGTTTTAAGTTACTTGGAGCCAGGAGTGCTGTATACAAAACAGCCCAGTATTCCCTCAAGAATATCAGCTATGTTGTGCTTTGGATGAGTTCCCTGGCATCTTAACTGCTACTTTGATCCTGCAAATTCCTAATCCAGCATCTAAGCACCTTTCTCCAACAATTGCAACTACTCAATCCTTTTAAAAAAATGCCTTTTTAAAAAACTTGCTCTGATTCTGTATTAGCAATATGGTTCAGTTGTAAAAATAGTGTTAGATGGACTAGTGAAAATAAGACACCACGTTCTCTGGCCTTCCAAGCGGCACTCAAAGTGACACTGCTGTAACTAAAATCCTTGTGTATTTGCACACAATAAAGGATAAAAATAGTAATGGAAATTGGCTGCGAAACTCTGATAAGAGAAGTGGTGACGTACTAGTATCTGAATTGCTCGTCCCGCATGGCAGGCCACATATACCTGCATTTTCTATTACCATACACACAGCCTACGTAGACACCGGTGGAGCG